TCTCCTGGATATGTATACAGTTTCCGTCACTAAACCTCTGCAAATGTAAAATCCCCGTTAAATACATAAGAATTAATCAGTATTATAATTACCATAAACAGTAAGCTGATTTCTTCTAAACCAGGTAAATTTATTTAAACAATTGCTCTTTTCCTGGAATTTTGATTAATATTGTGGCGTGCCACCTAAAAGCGGGCGTCCATTGCTAGACATCGGCTCGGTAGTCACGATCCCGCGTCGTTGTCTGGGTGACAAACACGTTCACACGTCAACGCATACTATGATGAGCGGTGACGAGCGACCTGAAAAAGCCACAACCTGCGTTTCTGCTGGGTGGAGATTGGCGGGCACGTTCCCGTTACGCTGGGTTTTGATGGAGCTATTGAAGATATATCCATGCTAACGACTGTACCACGGATATGATAAACGGAGCTCTTCACGGACGTGATTCCTGTCCCATCCGCCCAGCAGGAATAAAGGGAGAGCAGTTCAGAGTCCAGAACTGAAGGCACAGAGCAGAAGCGAGAGCAGATTCCAGGAGACCAGAGGCGCAAGACGCAGACAACAGTGAGGGATTCGGTATCCAGAAACAGTTGAATGTGTGAATTATTGTAACCGAGTGTAAATGTGTTAGTAAAGTCCAATGAACCCAAAGATCAAAACTAAGAATCCACGTTTATTTGTCACGGAACCCCGGACACGCGACGATATTGACTTATTTCTACTTGCTTTGGAATTGCGAAAGATATTAAGGATGCTGGAGCCATTTCTCCTGAAATATGAAAATAGATTTTAGAGTGTCCTTTTTTTCTTTCACACGATCGTGTCTGAACATTGTGTACTTCTAAGAGTTCTGCATTCTAAGATGTAACGTCCTATAGTCCGCCGAAAATTAACTGACGTTTCAGAGTAACACATCGCCTTGATCTTTAGGATCGCAGAGTAAGCCAGACAAATCCGCATGAAGTAGGGGACAAGCTGAAGTTGATTTTCATGCTTGCTTCCATTCTAAAGTGTCTGAAATTAAGAAAGTCGTCTTCTGGGTTTAGGCACCGTGTGTTCTTCGTTTTGGCCGACGTTTCGGAGGAACGTAGCGCCTCCATCTTCAGAGCAGTTGAATNCCGTGTGTTCTTCGTTTTGGCCGACGTTTCGGAGGAACGTCGGGCAAAACGAAGAACACACGGTGCCTAAACCCAGAAGACGACTTTCTTCATTGTCATCGCCGTGAAAACCTCAAAACTTACATGTCTGAAATTAATTTAACATATTGTCGAGAGCTCTTGGTTTTCCCAGCACAATACTTGCTAGCGACGGCAGAAATTGTAAAGGCTAATTAACATTTATTTTTACTGATTAGTATTATCACACTCAAGGATTTGTCTCAGCAGTCCAGTCCTTCCGTACTGATATACCACTCGACTTTCTGTTTGTCTTCCGCCATTGTCCCTCCTTGCGTTTTATAATTTCGAATTCCCCTCTCGCATTCCCATATATCCGAAACGTGTATTTAAGTAGTCATTCTGATTTTCTGTATGAAATATTTATAATCTGGAATTTCTGTTTGTGTTCATCGAGTCTTTGATCACGGACCGTAATTCCTGCTTCTGTATAAAACAGCAGAGGCAAAGAGTGCCCTGGAGTACACATTTTGTTTCATACACGATCCTTGTTACTTTCCATGCTTCATTGAATTTAATGTTTATTTATCACAGATAAAAAAATTTACTTCTGTGAAGATATTTGCTCTGTACAAAATCTCACATTAAATTTTATCTGATAGCGCAGTCGGAATAGCTACTGGTTACGGACTGAAAGCCCGAAGGGTCGGAGTTCGAATCCCGGTTAGGTCAATAATTTTTTCTTCTCCACGTCTCCAGACCTCCTCTGAGGCCCAACCGGCCTCCTATCGAATGGGTACCGAGGGCTCTTTCTCCGGGGGTAAAGCGGTAAGGGCGCGAAGCTGAAGACACCTCTCCGAGTGCCGAGGTCAAGAATATGTGGATCTATACATCCACTTCCCCACACGCCTTCATGGTGTAGTGCTTAATTAGTTAAGCCCAGGGACAACTTTCCTTTTTACTATGCCAAATATTATTTCGAAATATATCTTGATGAGATTTACATGTCGTATTACGCAATGCTTATGTACGGTGAACCCTTTTTGAGAAATGTGAGATGGGATTTTGTATAGAGTAGAGTTATAATTGAGGAGGACGAACTGAAATTAAGTTCACTGTACAAATTTGAGCACGGATCCCAATCCAAAATGGCACCGAAATCCGTAGAGTACTTTCGTACCAACCATTGAAGAAGAAGAGGAATGACTTCCTTCGTACACCTGGGGCATCACGCAGTGTAGCATATCTCAACATTTCAGGCGTCTTCAAATATTCTTCATTTTGGGAAGATTATAAATGAAGCTTAATCCAACTTACTTAGACTTTGTACCACAGATACTTACCATTTTATCTAACCGAAACTGATTGCAGCTGTTTAAGGTTGCGTTTGGGCTTCAGTTTTAATAAAAATTACTTCAAAAGATTAATTAATTTAATTTGAAGCATTATTTAGGAATCGATGTGTCATATTTGTGCTAAAGATCCGGAAAGGAAATTATATAAATTTCTGTACATGTGTGGAAGGATGTAAATGATAATATAGGGCAATGTTAAGGTGAATGTATGGGGGTTTAATAGATCTATCACGTGATGACAATGTTTGTATTGTAATTAGTCCTTTATTAACCGAGGTGAACTGTGCTGAAACCCGATAACGACGATGCTAATGTCGATAATGAAACGGCGAGAGGCCACAGCGTCGGAGTGAAAATAAATTGACGCTATTCTGGATAATGTTACATGGTAATAAAAACCGTCGAAACATTTTAAAACGTGGCTTATTTACAGAGCACGGGGTTTCAAGCACAGTCAATGCAACCCAGATGCAATAACGTTCTGATAACAATATTATATTATAGCATCCTGTTGCACTTTATTAATTAATTGAAAAATGTCTCTGATGCTTAAAAGACTCATTTTGTATATGTAAGGAAAGGTAAAGCTATCCTTGTAAAACGACGTGGAGGCCCATACGGGTGTGAGATGTCGAAGCTTCCATATACGATGGGGTACCCAAAAGAAACTGAACTAATTTTTTTGTGGGCAGAGCTTTTGTAGTACCGCGTTTTGCTGCTATGAGCGCATAGAGCTAACATTCCTGAGTCGATAAGCCGACTACCGTTGCTTCAGAAGGTAAGGACTAGTTTCGGCAGAGTTTATAGTGACAACTCTTTTGTGTGATCGTCGTTTTTGCAATGACTGATTTTCGTGAACAGCGTGCGGCGGTGAAATTCTGCTTTTTGCTCGGGAAAAGTGGAACAGAAACTCTTGAAATGTTAAAAACGGCGTACAAGGACGATGCTATGGGGAAAACTCAAGTGTTTGAGTGGTTTTCCCGTTTCAAAAATGGTGAAATGTCAATTGATGACAAACCTCGTTCTGGTCGTCCTTCCACAGCCCGAACACATGAAAATGTTGAAAAAAATCGTGAAATCATCAAGGAAGATCGACGACGGACCATTGAAGAAATTGTGGAGCTGTCGGGAGTGACTTGGAGCTCAGCGGCCAGATTTGTGGCAGTCGGGTGACTGGTTTTTCCATCATGACAATGCCCCTGCTCACACAGCCCTGTCTGTACGACAATTCTTGACCAAAAATGGTATGACCCCTGTTCCTCACCCTCCATACCCACCCGACCTTGCCCCGTGCGAATTTTTTTTTGTTTCCTCGAATGAAAAGAGACATGAAAGGAAAAAACGACGGAGGCGCTGTCAAGCATCTCAAAAGATGAATTTAGACAATGTTTTGAAAAATGGAATAAAAGACTAGACAAGTGTATTAGTGTAAGTGGAGAGTACTTTGAAGGGGATTGAAGGTTTGTGCTTAAAATTTGAATAAATAAGTTAAAAAAAATAAGTTCGGTTTCTTTTGGATACCCCCTCGTATTCTCCAGACAACCGGCTCACAGATGGCGGTAAGGTTGTGAGCCTTACGCGCCGGGCGCCCTTTGCCCCCAGGAAGATTCATGATATTTATTTCTGCTGGAGGCTGAATCGACCCTGGGGCCATAGTGAGGCTGGAAGGATTAGGTCAATTGAAAAAGAAAGCCACCTAATCGGGACTCAAACCCGCGACCTTCCGGCTTGTAAGATAGTGCCTCAACCAACTACGTTAATACATTGATATTCTGACGTTGACCTTTGACCATAATATATGAAAACTTGTAGTCAGATTTATGCAGGTTTTACAGCAAAGAAACAGAAATTCACACAACAGTCCAGTTCCATGACATTCTCGCTGACATATTTAGTAATGAAAATATACAGTGAATAGAGAATCTTTAACCCTGTCCTCCCCCCCCCCGGTTCCCTTATAGTGCCGAGTTCCTTTTCAAAACTTACCTTCGTGCCCGTAAGCCTTCTGATTCCGATTCGGGAGGGCCTAGGTTCAAAACTCGTTCGGGCCACACTGCCGTATCCTTCACAGCAATCTCATATTCACCCAACATGGTTATTCTCGCATAACTTGACGCCAAACAGCTTATGCAGCTGGCACAGTTTCATTTAATAACGTATGATGCATTTATCCCAAATGCTGAAGAGTACGTCTGTATAGAATACATCAGTCTGTCTGCAGCATACGTACCACTCGCAAGATACAGCTCACGGCTCACGATTAGGGAGCGTGAGAGATTAAAAAAATATATATTTACGATGTCAGTAAAGTCTCCGTCGAATACCTCTGAAGAAGGGACTTAATTTTCTTAATTTCCTGTAATAAACCGTCAGGAGGAGGACGAGCGAGCGACGCAGGCACGTGACTTCTGTATTTCTATTGCAATTTTGGTGCTATCACGTGAGAAATTTACTAAAATAATATTTTTTAAAAGCCACATATATTCCGATCAGTTTCTGAAAAGTATCCATATTTGTTTGGTTGCAGTTGCAAGCCCTCCAGATCACCGGGTAACCAAAGATGACAGCTCCCTTACGCACACTTCGCCAGGGCGCAATGGCCAACTGTCTAGTAAGTACAGCATTGCATGGGTACAGGATATAATCGTACACACAGAATGCTTCAAAATTATTGTCGGCGTTTCCGTTCATAGGTGACGGAAACCCCGACAATAATTTAGAATCATTTGTATGTTTCGTACCTTACGTATTACATTTAGAGGCCGCGCCATGGCTCAGGTGATTAGTCGCTGGCTTCCCACCGCGGCCACCAGGCTTCAAGTCCGGGATAGGTCATTTGGGATTTCTGAAGGGCAAAGTGGCAGCGGGGCAGGTTTTCTCCGAGTACTTCCGTTTCCCTTGCAAACTACCAATTGCTCCACAATCACCCTCACTTATCATCTGGGGCTAGTACAATAAGCCACTAGTGGCCTCAGTACCAAGAGGACTCAGTCGTTCGTATTGTTAATTGGTTTTATTAACAACCTACAAGTCGTAACTATAACACTGTTACGGGTTTACACAATTTACAAACCCTACACATTAATCT